CAGAGGAGCGATACTAGAGATGATTTGACCCGGGCATACAAAAATCGGGAGCCGTCAGACCCTTGGGGTGCAAGTGATAATGGTCCCCGGAAGTGTAAATGGCCCTATCAGATCTCGGAAACTAACGGTTGGAATAAGCTCAAGTTCTAGTATGTTGTAGGCCTAGTTGAGGGACGCTTAAGTTTGGCACCCCAGACCCCTAAGACGCCCACTTCCGGTTTTATGCCCAAAGTAAACAAACCCACCCGTAACTTCCGGAAGTCGTTTCTCGGCCATCGAGGAGCGCAGGGAGCTGAAACTTAGAGGGATGATAGGTAGTGGCAAGATACATCTTGTATTATAATTTGAATCAAATCCGGCAGTTGGACTGGAAGCTACTAGCACTTGAAAAATACACCCCCTTAGACCGGAAATAGGCAATAAACGCAAAATATTGAGCGAGGGCATATCGATTTTATGGCGGCATTAGATACTACAACTCATCCCCGAAAAAGACCCTAGTGAGTGAAAACCCTCCGGTGACTCCTTCCGGTGTTAATAATATCTTTCCGGAGAAGTGATAATGAACCCTAGAAATGGGATAACTTGTGAAGTATTAATGGGATATGAATGAAACTTTGTAGTTAGGACCCTCATGGGATTCTGAAACCAAATACGGAGGTTTGACCCCGGTTGAACTCGCGGTGACCTCAAATTGACCTTTGGGCGTTTAGGACCAAAATTGCATGGAAAGCCCCAAGATTAACACCGGAAAGGGGCGTATTTCCCAGCCCAAACCCTGGAAATGAGAATGAGTCACCTTGCTAAAAATTGGGAGGAAAATTTATATTTTGGGAACTAGAGCAGAACTTGATAGAGATATAGCTTTTACATTGCAACCTTGGAGTAAAGGAATTAATTTAAAGTGGACTTGGTAAACATTGGGCTCAGTCTAGCTTGGCGAGTGATCTATTAATAGCAATTTAATTAGACTAAAGAAGAGTAGTCCCAGAGGAAATTGATAGTAATGAGACCGCGGTATGAGAGTTAAGTAAGTTTCCTAAATATTATGAATGGACGGGAAATTTACTTGGCTCTCCGGAGGTGACTTTTTGGTTTAATTTGCCACCTTATAGACGAACAACGTTCCCCTGATAGTTAGAGGGTCGGGATTGGAATAGAGTACAGATAGAAGTTTTAGATGCCTGAAATTAGTTAGCTTCCCATGAAAAGGGCCTCCCCCTACCCTTGGGAGGTCGGGACGGTAACGGGATATTTAAAATAAAGACCTTGGGAGAAATACTGAGTAAACATAGCATGGTTTGGAGGTTGAGTTGAACTCGAAAGCTGAAATTCAAAGGGTTCAGGATTAGTTTGATTAGAATCGTATGACAGTTGTTTGCTTGGCCAAGTTGTGACAGCTACCGCATTTTGGGTATCTAATAAATGTGAAAAGATTGATAAAAGAAACCGAAGTTGGCACGTGGCTGAAGTGACAGGAGGAGGGATATAGTCTTAAGACATGTGCGGACGGGTGATTTAGGCGGATGTCAGGACTGATGGGGAATGGCGTGACTTAACTAAAACTAAGTGTAAAGAAAGATAAGGAATTGGAGGGTACCAAAGAAGCTGTAAGAGGCAGAAGAATTATTGCGAGCGAATCGAATAGTTGGTTCTCAGTTAGTTAGAGAACAATTTGGGCTACAAGCTAAGGTAGTCGCTTGATTCTCAAAGTAAAAGGAGAACGAGTTGGAAGACTTGTTAACGTGAATGTAGATTAGTTAGTGAATGTTAGTTAGGCTATCTAGAGGATAGCGGAATCGTTGCTGAACGATTGATATTGAAAGAAGTTCTCGGGGAGAACGTTAGTTAGTAGTAAGGTTTTAATTGAACTGCAGGAGGCAGTTGGTTTAATTATTAGTAATCGCGAACCCCTTTCTTTAATTGAATGATTAATTTATATTTCAGCCAATTATAGACTACTCTGTATTTGGTTATATTCATTTCTTAATTCATTCTTATTTTTGGAATTGTTTTTGCGATCGATTATTGATTGACGGGTGAGATACAGTCGGAAGAGCACAAATCACGGGGCGAGCAGCATAGTACAGTACAGAGCAGCCAACCACCAAATCAACCATTTTGGCATTGTGAACAGTACTGGGAATCGGTTGCCCCGCTGACCTCTGTACCAAAGGGAACATATTGCGGCGGTGCGAAATACTGTGAATTCCCCCACGTTTACAGACCACAATGAGTAATAGAATTTTTTGTTTCTAATGCTTTTTCATGTCCCCTAAATGCTTTTGAATTAGTTTGACAAAAAAACTCCAAAAGTGAGGTGGGGTGTGAAGTGGTAACGAAAGACAAGAATGGTTTGCAACGAAAAAATCGCAAAAAAATAACTACTCTCATTTAAAAAAAAAAACTTTTATTGTTCTCACGGACGCAATCTTGCCAGTGCATTGCGCGCTGGCCCACAGAGGCTAGGGGACTATAAAAGTTAGAGCCCGTTATTGCCACGAGCATACGGTGACTTTAACCGAAACTCTCAAAAGTTAACTTCCTTAATTGATTTTCAAACCTTGCGAATGTAATTTTCCATAAAACTTGACGGTTGTCGTTTGTTGTGAGTTGTCGCGGGGCCGGAAGATCACCATAACCTGTGCTCGTAGCTTAAGTTGAGGCAAAGTTGCTCATTCCAAAAAATAACACAAAAATGTGCAGGCCATGTCTAGCCACAGGTGCAACAGCTGTTCTCAGTAGAGAGTTGAACAGCTTTTTGGTTGTTCCTTGCCACTCGTTTGAACAAAAATTAACTTAGAATTTGCATTAAGAAAACATTGATGTTCTCTCATCTATTTTACAAAATGAAGTGTCAATTAGTCTGAAGTTTGAGAACAATCAGATCATCTTATTCGATTTTTAAGAACCCTTATCACGGCTGGAAATACTTCCATTCGATACCAATTTTGACCCCCTACGAAACTTTTTTACAGGAGTAGGAATTGAATAAAAACACGGAGACATTATGCTTTAGTTGCTTAACCGCCTAGGAAAAATAAAGAGGAAGCAACAACGAATGCTGAGAAAAAACAATAGCGAAGAAAATGATGCCGCTAAAAATGCAGCCCTATTGACACAGAGGCGAAACTACACTTAGCTCGAACAAGAATGCTCGTATATCAGGGCAAAACCCTGAATGTTCCGACTGTCCCTTAATTCGTTGTCAGGACTATTTGCCCCAGTAAAACTGGCCCTATGCAAACTTGCCCTATACTAAATTGCCGTACTTGAAAACTTGCCCTATGCCAACTCGTCCTATGCCGTTTTGTCCCATAATTAACCCTTCTAATAACAATTTGGTGTTCAAATCAATTAATGTGTAGGACCAGCAAGTGCTAATGGTAACTGAACTCGTTTTGAGAAAAGAAAGGAAACTGAGTCAAAATTGTTTAAATTGAGCCTCAAAAATTATCTAAGTCATACTTTTTGTCAATTAAACGCAAATTGTGACAATATTCCGCAATTAACGCTTTTGAAACAGAACAAAACACTAATATTTTTGTTTTGCATCATTGTTTTAAACTTTTTTGTGCAAACTTACAAGTTAACTTTTGTCAGTCAAGTTACGTTGGGAATATCTCAACAAATCAAGTGAACGCTGATTATTGACGAACACGACTTCATAAAAAAGCAAACAACAAAAATAACTGAACACTGGAGATGTGAGAGATACAGTTCCCATAAGTGCCGAATGCTCGCTTTAACAGCTGAAGATGAACTGGTATCCACCCAAAACGAACATAGCCACGATGTTAGATCGGGAATAGTTGAAGAGAACAGAATCATGCATCAAAAAAAAATGCCAAGCAGCAAATGGTACCTGTTAAAAGCATTATCCGAACAACAAACAACGTTGAAGGCTGGCATCTCGGGTTGACCGCGTTATTTCAAGGGAGCTACCCAAGCTTCTACACTTTCCTAAAGAAGATTCAATTGGACTCCACAAATCAAAAATGTAGCATTTTTGGACAATTTCAAATTGTGAAAAAATGAGCCCTACAAAATTAAAAGAATCGACGAACTAGCCTCTATTCAATTCACAGTGATTTTGTTACCCATAAATAGATCGCTATCGCTTTAGGGTTTATGAAAAAAATCTTCAAAGTGCGCATAAATAAGTCCAGAACATGGTCAAATTCGATCTCTTCAGAGGGTTTTAAAAATTTTCGATCGCAGAAATTCGGCTGAACAAAAAAACCACACCAAGCTTAATTATCCCGTTTTTTTTGCTATTTATGCCAAATTAGCTTTTTCAAAACCACAGCTTAACAAATAAGGCAAAGAGGTTAATTATTTAGTTTCTTCAACAACTGCAATAGTTGGAACAAAAACAACTGCAATACTTTACCGATTGACTTAGTGTGCTTACCAGAACAAACAAAAAAATGAAAACTTTTATTTATTGCCTGTTTTTTTGTTTACACTTGCGAAGCAAAGTGTATTAGTATGAGTTTTCTTTTTTTTCCAACCTAAGTCGCAAATAAAAGTGCTACTTTTGGTGGCACTTTTGAATCGGTAGGCTGCGGTAGCAGTAGAATATCGATAAGCCCGATTGATAGATTTGAGCTCGATTTCAAAAGGCTCGATTTCAGATAAAGCTTGATTTCAGAAGGCTTTTTCGGGTCACAATTTGGATCGGCAGCGGGTCAAAACTTTCCGCGTTTACAGCCCACGCACCCATGCTCGCATGAATCAGCTTTTTTTGTGAACGAGCTTTTTTGTGAATTGGATTAGAAAAACCAGTGGATTTGCAATATAACGGTAATCTCAAGGTGTGAAGTTATTATTTAAATCGAACTGCAAGACTTGGAAAGTTTTGATTTGAGTTTCCTTCTAGTGGGGTGCGATCATCGATCATTAAAGCCGCCAAAATTGTCATGATTATGAGAAGCTCGCTGTTGTTTATTTTAATATGAAACAAGTTTGATTTAATGATGATGGCAATGACCAATTACCTGTCCTTGGGTACTTTTCCGGATTGACCACCGATGACCAACACCATCACACCCGCTGTCACATTCGTCACAGCAGCAGGCGGAGATCCAAACGACTTCAGCTCCGTCAAGTTGGTCTAAACACCCCTTGCTTATAATTATTGTGTTTCTCATTATGACAACATTACAATATTGCGTTTAGTCGACAAATAACTCACAGCAAAATGCTCAAGCCTCTTATCCAATATAGATTTAAACTTGTTTTTTTTGGGGGGGTTTATTTAGACTTTTTTTCGGGTTTTTCATCAATGTATGTCTCCTGCTGATAAAACTATGTGCTTTAAGATTATTTTGGCTCTTTACTCTGGCATTTGAGAATAATTTGAAAAAATTTAAAAGTGAAATTTCAAAATTACGTTACTACAGAAGATTGGCCCAGAAAAATGTAAAATTAGTAAGGCTTGCTTCGATTAGGATACCTTGTCAAGTATGTTGAGTGCTGCTTCGGCAGCTGCGAGTGCTGGTTCAGCCCTCTTCAGATCTGTCTCACAGGCGGCCTGTTTGGCAGAAACTTCGTCGTTAATAGCCGTCACCTTGCGCCCCTCCTCGTCCGCAATCGCCTTTTCCTTCGCCACTTTGTCCGACTCCGCACCCACCTGGTAACGAGACGAAAAAAGAAAGAATAAATTGCCGCCTAATCATACTTTGTCCGCCGGTAATGATTATTGATACAAGCAACTGTAATCTTTTCCAGATACCCCCACCCAGAGGCGGATCTAGGATTTTCTCGAGGGGGGGCGGACTTTCAGAAAATGTTACAAAACTTTGTCGACCTTTTTTGTAGGTCGACAAAATTGATTTTCCAAGCTCTCCCCAAAGCACTACAAAGACCTTGTTTTGGCCAAAATTTTGGTCAGTCCAAAAAAAAACAGCACTCCATATTGTATCACGAGTTGAATAGAAGCCATATAGAAACTTAGAATAGATTTTAGGCTCACAAACGGTTTAAAGCAAAAAAAAATTGCTTGTGAGTGATAAAAAATCGACTAATCAAAACATGCATTTGTTGCTTGTTTATAACCTTAACGCCCTAGATATTTCTTCTTTTTTACTTTTGAAAACTTTTATTGAACTCAATTTTGCAGATCTGAAGTTTTTGCAGGCCAGCCTAATTTTGGCAGGAATTGAAGAAATTGACTTTTCCTTCAAAGACTAAGTTTTTGCTTTCAATTCCTAACTAAACGCGCTTTAAATCGTCGCACATTATTATATTTTCACTTTATAACGGGTTCCTAACAAAATTTTGTCATCTGCGAAAAAGATTGTTTTGCAGTTAGTACATAACTTTGGAAAACTTATTACAATCAAGCAGAAACAGTAAGGGACACAGAATAAACTCTCGAAGATTTCTCAGACACATCTTTTCCACTATCACAATGCTGGTGTCAGTTTTCGAGGTATGACTTTGAAATTCAATTTATTGGGTAACGAAATCCATATCGATCAAAATCTGTAGAAAAAATTAGTCATCAAAAACGTTTCAAAACTTTTTTACAAAAAAATGATGATAAGCTTCTAGCTGATAACTTACTTTAAATGGTCTCAACAACATCCAAAACTGCGTCGTTTGATATATTTTTGATTGATATTTTGGCTGATTTAGAGTCGAAAGTTTTCTCTAGTCTCTAGACAAAAATTCAAAACACAATAAGACACCAAAGAACTGGTCTAGGTTTTTCACAATTATCTTTCTTGCCTTTGCAATTTTGGAAAGCGTTGTTTGTTTCGTTAGCTTTAGGACTCGAGGAAAGTACTGCACACCAGAACAAAGGTTGAGCAGCCAAAAGAGAAAAAAACATACTGCGCGATTTTACGTTTTGACCAGCTGTATATCGTTTTCTTCACACTCCGTGGATTTTTTGCTTTTAACACTTTGATTTTCACAATTATCCAATTTACCTTGCTCGCCTAACCTTCAAAAACATGGTCTATTTATGTTTTTACGGCTTCAAAACCCAATGCATGTTAAAAAAAATTGCTTTTCATTCCCCTATGTTTAATTAGTTGTATACTTTATTTTCATAGAACTGTACTGAGTTAAGACCTTTTGGTAATACTCATTTCAGATAAGGTACACCGTCTGTTCGTCACGCTATCTTATTTTCGGCCGGATAGGTTCGTACAACTTCTTCGTCTAATACCAATCTTAATCTTCCTCTTATATCTCCTAGTCTCAATAGATCTAGTGTATACTGGTAGATGCGAGTCGGTCTCTCTGGAGAAGGCAACTGTTTTTCTAAGTTTAATTCAAATTATTCTGGTATTAAAAACTACAAATAGTTTCAACACTTACAAAGAAGTGGGTTGTTAGTTGATGGAGTATGATTGGTTAGTATTCAATATTTTATAGAGATAAAATATAATAATAGTAACCAATAATATAATTCAGTTAAGATCTGGTTCCACTCATCCGGGGTATAGAGAGTTTTATTTTTTTTGAAATTTCATAATTGAGGATGGAAGTAGCTGCTTTTCTTTTAGAAGCTGCGAGTATTTGTTTTCCTTGATTAGGAAGAAGAAGAACCGTTATCCGTTGTTCGGATCTGAACTACCAGGATGATGGAATCGTCGATATTAACATATTCTTCTTGAGCGGTTGCTATTGGTCACGATCGTTCTCGGGAGATCGTATCAAGATTCCTGATCGGTTGTGATGAGTGCTGGTTCGGTTAGGTAGAGAGAAACAATGCTTTAGCCTCGTTCGTGTGTGGCATGAAATTTGATTTTCGTGTGAAGTGCCGAGTGACTAGGATCTGTACTTGTACTCAACATCGAGATGGTCATTGGTCTGTTTCAATGGATGTCCTTTGCTGCGATGCCAAGTCGAACTTAAAATCCTTTGAGTGTAGTGACTGTGGGCAACAAATCAAAATCGGGTATTTGCCATTGCGTAGTTGGTTTGTGATTGGGTTGTCAACTTCCTTGCTGCTTGTCTTTGGTGCATGTGCAGTCTAATTTATATGATTCAGAGTTTGTAAAATTGATCTTTCCTGGACATGATTTCTCAACCAAACCAAGAAGTTTTTTTATATTAAAATCTGATCTGCAGCAAACAAACAACTTCTAACATTACACTTTTTCAATGATTGCAAAAAAACTGTAATTTGAGTTATGTTCTATGTTTAACTCATAGAGTAATTTCAGATAGGGTACACCGTCTGCTCGTCTTGCTATCGTATTTATGGCCGGATAGATTCGTGCAAATTCCTAGTCTAATACCGATCTGAATCTTACTCTTATGTCTCTTAGTCTCAATAGATCTAGAGTATACTGGTTTTGCTACGAGTCGGTCTCTTGGAGAAAGCAACTAAGTTTTAAGTTAACTTCAAATCTCTCTGGTGCTGAAATTACAAGTATTTTCAGCACTTATAAATAAGTGGGTTGTTGGTTTGATGGAGTGTGATTGGTTAGTCTTTATTATTTAAGGGATAAAATATCTAAATTATAACCAATAATAAATTATAGTTTGGATCTTGTTCCACCAATCCGGGGTTTACAGAGTTTTTTGTTCTTTGACATCTATCTGTAATGGAGGATGAATGATGGTCGTTTGTATTTCGCGAGAATCATTTCTATTCCGTTCTAGGAGGAGGAAGCTCCAGTAGTCTGGAATCGTGGACATGAAGTTGTTATTCCAGTAAGCTGTTGTTTCTGGAAAGTCAACCTGATTTCCAAATGGTTTGTTAAGACCGTTTGTTAATGTTCGGTGGAGAACTGTGTTTCGATCCTGTTTGGGAATGGCGTGTAGCTCGAGTTTGGAGGGGATGCCTTGATACTAGTGTCTGTACGTCTTGAACATCGAGGTGGCCATTGGTCTGATTCAATGGAGTCCTTTGCTGCGATGTCAAGTCGTACTTCAAATCCTTTGAGTTGCGATTGTGGGCGGCAAAGCGGTTGTGTTCGGCCATTCTGTGGTTAGAGTGTGATGGGGTCGTCTTAGTTTTTTGATGCTCGTCTTCTTGATTGTGTCTTATCTATATACTGCATTGTATTATTTACATATACAAATTTTTGTTTATTTCGGTACTAGTTATGATCTTGTATTAATAGTTATTGCGAAAGCTTTTTAATTTAGTTCGGTTATTTTTAAGAGTCACTCACCATTGAGTAACTCTCTGTTAAAAATAAGAGTGTGGTCACAAAGCGTGCTTGTAGCACGGTGGGTTAGGCCGGCTATAGAGCATGCTCAAGACGTCCTCTCTGGTGGGTTAGGCCTGGAGTGGAGTATGCTCTTTTCTGAAGCGTCCCGTTTTGTGTTTAACCTTTCATGTCTTTTTTTAACTGATTTTTTCCTTTTTGGTTTTGGTTGTTTCCTTTTCTCAAAAATCAAATCGTTTGTTTTGGGTTCGTCTTTCGACTTTTTTTATGTTTTTTTTTCGTTTGTGTTTAGACTTGAAAGTAGTCTTCAAAAGAACAATTTATCAATGCTTTAAGCTGGTGTCAATCTGGTTTGGGTACCGTGGGTTTTCTTTTCTTAGTCATGCTGTTAAGTTATGATTTGTGGTGTTTAGTAAGCTGCGTTGGTTAGTTTGGTTTGTTTGAGACGTGTTAAAACTGGTTAGAGTTGTTATCAGTGATTTGTTAACTCTTAAATTCATTATTTTAAACAATTCTTCTTGGGCGAGCTGTGCAATTGTGGATAGGATTGTGGGCGAGTGAGTGGTTTTAAATTATAAGAAGCGTCTTTGAAAAGGTTAGTACTGCTTTGAATCTATTTGCAACTTTTATGAATTTATTACTTTTTAATTATTAATTTAACTGCTTTTGTTGAGTTTAACTTATTAATTTATTTGCTTTTTTGAATACTTACTGCATATGGGAAAAGAATTTATAAATCAATTTACTGCTATTTGGAGGTAAACTTTACTACTTTTTTTATTGCGATTTGTTAATTTAAATTTATGAATTAGGAAAAGATTTTCAGTTTTTTATTTCGTTTTTCCTTTTCTAGATGATTGCGGTGGCTTATTGTGCTGTGAAGACTAGAGAAAGTACGAAAACATTTATAAAGAATTGTTAGTTTTTGTTTGAGTTTGTTAGTATAATGTTTTTGATTCGTAATTACCTAATCGTGAAGAATCCATGGGGAAAAACGTCGTGGATGATAACTGATGATGTTAGTAGTTCAGCGATTAATCGAATGATGTATTTAATTTGGAGAATTAGCCGAAGTAATTCGAGTTTTTTTATGATTTCGTGCTCTTCTGTGTTGGTTGAGATTTCAAACGGTGTGTTTTGGTTGAGGTTATAAAGTTTGTGGTTATATCTGGTGATATGAATGAATTCTATGATGGGGATTTCGACGGGCTGTAGTAATTCATGGGAAATGATGAAGGGGCGGGATTCGTCGACATTGAAGTTTTTGGTCAAGGGACACAATATATACTGGGTGATGGGATCATAATTTCGGAGGATGCCTTGGAAGTTAGTATCTTTAATGCAATATGTGAAGTTAAGAAAAAATTGTGAGGTGTATTTTGAGTTATTTTATTTTGAAATCTATGATGAAGTTGCCGAGATGGTGTATTTTGAGTGTAATGATGTTGGATGAATTTACAGTACGTGTAAGTGTGTGTTTGTTTAGTTCGTAACATTA